CTGAGATGAAGCAAAGAAGGGAAATAAAACAAAATATTGTAGGACATTCTACTTTGCATTCCCTGAGATGAAGCAAAGAAGGGAAATAAAACAAAATATTGTAGGACATTCTACTTTGCATTCCCTGAGATGAAGCAAAGAAGGGAAATAAAACAAAATATTGTAGGACATTCTACTTTGCATTCCCTGAGATGAAGCAAAGAAGGGAAATAAAACAAAATATTGTAGGACATTCTACTTTGCATTCCCTGAGATGAAGCAAAGAAGGGAAATAAAACAAAATATTGTAGGACATTCTACTTTGCATTCCCGAAAATGAATCAAAGAAGCGAATTAAAAAATAAATATTATAGGACATTCTACTTTGCATTCTCCGAAATAAAACAAAGACGCGAAATAAATAAAATATTGTAGGACATTCTACTTTGCATTCCCGAAAATGAATCAAAGAAGCGAATTAAAAAATAAATATTATAGGACATTCTACTTTGCATTCTCCGAAATAAAACAAAGACGCGAAATAAATAAAATATTGTAGGACATTCTACTTTGCATTCCCGAAAATGAATCAAAGAAGCGAATTAAAAAATAAATATTATAGGACATTCTACTTTGCATTCTCCGAAATAAAACAAAGACGCGAAATAAATAAAATATTGTAGGACATTCTACTTTGCATTACCGGCAATGCCTAAAAGAAGCGAAAAAATTCTAAGGCATTACAACGCTATGCCTTCTAGAACACGTTACCACTAAAAGCGATTACCGATTTTTTGCTGGGAAAGGTCTTATTGGCTATTGGCATTGGCTAGTAATAAATATAATAATAGCACACTCAGCGTCACTCTGGAACAACGACGGGGACGTGGTGGTTATCTGGTTCCTTTTTTTATTATTAAATATTTATTTTTTTTTGTTATTTAAGCCTTTTTTTATTTGAAATTTTTTGCATATTTTTGAATATGTGGTTTTTGTATATCAAAGCCATTTAGTTATATATTAACAGAAGAAAATTCAACTACTGCTTTTAGCAGTCTCTCGTAATAAGATTCATCTTCAATCAATTTAATTTTATATCGTTCCCAAGTGTTGCTGATGGATTGATTCTCCGGATTGCTCTGAACAGAATCCTAGTCCTTTATCAAAGCCATTGAGTTAAACACACTCTACTACGTGCCATATCAGAACGTGAATTTTCAAAGTTATTGAAATATTCTCGACACCTAGTATTGCCACTTCCAACTCTTTGAAATAAACTTGTATTTGATCATTAACCGTTCCTAATGTGAAACAACAGTTAACAACTTTGTCCATAGTAGAGCTGTCAAACTATCGATGGACTTCATCGATGTTTTACGATAGTCTCAAGGGTGACTATCGATAGTATAGACCCCTTTCATATATTTTTCTAAATCCATTTATTTTTCGTTACCTTGCTTTTATAAATTTGTTTATTTTAGCAGCTCACGGTTGCATTTTAGTATCGAGAAATGTTGCTAGAAGTTCATTCGCCGTGTAAAGAGTCTAAAAGCGATTTCAGAAATTTTCTCAGCAATGCGCCTTTCGGAAATAAAAACTTTCTTTCGAAAGACACTTTACATGAACAGTGCACTGCTTATGAAACTGCTTTCTGAGATTTCTTAATTTGACAGTCTTTTGAAATATACGGCAATGTAACCGCTGCTATTTCCACGCTTAAAATAAAAAATGGCGCTTTTAGAAATAATGCTATGAACCAACTAAACAAATTACCCAGCACGGCATCCGTGTATTTGTAATTGCATTTGAGAAAAAAATAAATAATAGTTGATAACGTCATTTTTTAATCGGTTGTTCGCACACATGGTTTCACTCCGTTTCATTCACATGGCAGCGAAAAAATTACGTCACTGCAAAAAAAAAACTTTTTTCTCGCACTCCGTCCTGGGTGAT